CCCCAAAACCCCAAAACCCCAAAACCCCAGGACAATGGATTTAGCAGAAATTAGGCGAGTAATTATTAATATAATTTTAAATTTATAAGAATTTTTGAAGTCAGCCGTAAAATGGTAAGACCTTTAAGAAGCCTATATTTAACATAATTTTATTTTAGGAGGATCATAGAGGTACATACTTTAGGGTTTAAATAACAATAACTTTTAGATGGCACTGATAAGAATCGATAGAATAAGGAGGAAAAAAAGAAGCCAGTAAGTTCAGAGTTAAATTATTTCGATTGAGGCTATAAGATCTTCTTAAATCGATCCATAGCTTCTATTCTGACTGGAATAATAGTTTTTAACGCCTAATTTATTAGCAAAGTTTGACTTATAACGCAGAGAAGATCATTGGTAATGGATCATTTGGTGTGGTCTTCAAAGCCTAGATCGCTGAGACTGGAGAAATTGTTGCAATCAAAAAGGTTTTCTAAGACAAGAGGTATAAGAATAGAGAGCTGCAAATTTTGAAAATGCTTCATCATCCATTCTGTGTGGAAATGAGGCATTACTTCTACACTAATGGCGATAAGGTAATTTTATTTGTAAACGTGACAGGACTAGCCAGACGAAGTCTACTTGAATGTAGTTATGGACTACATTCCAGAGACAATCTACAAAATCATGAAGTCGTACTTGAAAATGAAATAAATGGTCCCTCCGCTCTTGGTAAAGCTCTATGCCTACTAGCTTATGAGATCAATAGCCTATATTCATGCCTTAGGTATTTGCCACAGAGACATTAAGCCTCAGAATGTCTTAGTTGATCCCTCTAGTCATGTTTTAAAGTTATGTGATTTTGGCTCTGCTAAACAGTTAGTTGCAGGAGAACCTAACGTCTCTTATATTTGTTCTAGATATTATAGAGCCCCTGAGCTCATATTCGGAAATTCAGACTATAACTGTATAATCGATGTATGGTCAGTCGGCTGCGTTATTGCTGAATTACTTTTAGGATAACCAATTTTCCCTGGGGAGAGTGGTGTAGACTAGTTAGTCGAAATTATAAAGATTTTAGGAACTCCGAGCAGAGAACAGATTACTGCCATGAACCCTAATTACAAAGAATATAGATTCCCATAAATCAAACCACTTCCTTGGGAGAAGGTTTTCAGATCTAGAACTCCAAAGGAAGCAATAGACTTTGTATCGAGATTGTTAGTCTATGACCCAAAGGCTAGACCCAACCCCCTTGAGGCTCTTCTTGATCCTTATTTTGATGAGTTGAGAGACTCCAATACAAGACTTCCTACTGGATACCCTCTTCCTGATTTATTTAAATTCACTCAAGAAGAGATCGGCACTATGGCTCACGGCCTCCACGAAAAACTAGTTCCAGCATGGTACAAATAGAAATGATAATGATTATGAGAACGCAATCATCAAAATTGAATGTGATGGTTGATTATGCATTATTTTACATTCAAATTTAATCAAATTAATTTTCATCTGAATTCTTCCTTAGGGGTTTTGGGGTTTTGGGG